AGCCCGGAGCCCAGCCCCGAACGCACGGTGAGCGGCGCGGAGACAAGAGGGCGGAAGTGTGCGCACTCTGGTTTTTATTTTAGCCTGGACCCGGCGGCGGCGCGACAGCCAAGCCTTCACCTTTGAAGGGGACCCGGGGGCGGCAAGGTGAGGTGCGCGGGGAAGCCAGGAGGGGCCTCCAGGGTTACTTCTCTCGGCTAAACATGTAGCGGAGGAGGTCGACCACACGGTTGCTATAGCCATATTCGTTGTCGTACCTGGGGGAGAGGAGGAGAGGCCTCGGTGGGTGTGCGCGCCCTCCTGCCAGCCTCTCCCGCCATCCTCGGGTGTGTCCCCCCCCCCCCTTTACCAGCTAACGAGTTTGACGAAGTTGTCATTGAGGGCAATGCCAGCCTTAGCATCGAAGATGGACGAATGGGGATCGCCGATAAAGTCCGTGGAGACCACCTAGGTGACGAGGAGTTCAAGGGTCAGTGTAGCGGACGGTGAGGAGCCTCCCGGGAGCCCGGGCCTTGACATTTGGCATTCACTCATCTAGCATCCTGGATAGAGTTCTTTTTTTTTTTTTTTAAAGATTTTATTTATTTATTTATTTATTTATTATGAGTACAACATTCTGCTTCCATGTATATCTGCACACCAGAAGAGGGCACCAGATCTCATCACGGATGGTTGTGAGCCACCATGTGGTTGCTGGGAATTGAACTCAGGACCTCTGGAAGAGCAGTCGGTGCTCTTAACCTCCGAGCCATCTCTCCAGCCCTGGGTAGAGTTCTTTTGTGTTGGGTGACGGGATGTGACCAAGGCAGGTGTTACTTTTGTCTCAGGGACTACCAGAAGGGACCTAGATTGTGGGGATGGCTCAGTGGGTAAGAGTGCTTGTCACATAGGCATGGTCATTTGAGTTTGGGCAGGTGGTGAACACCTGCAACCCAGCATTCCAGATTCCCTAGGGCGAGATGGCTGCGTAGATTAGCTGAAACTGGCAAGCTAAAATTACAGCTTGCTTCAGGAAGTCAGCGGCGTGTAATGGAGGGAGACACGTCTGTTTCATGCCTCCACACGTGCCCTGTGCACATTTCCACATGCCTCCTGCAGGTTTTGTGTTTCCGGTTTTTGAGACAGGGTCTCCTTATGTAGCCCTGTCTGGTCTGGCACTCAAGAGACTTGCCACCTCAGGTGTGCACCCCCATGCCCAGCTAGCCTGAGTTCTCCCCGCTCCCCCAAGGCTGCTAGCACTTAATGGTCTGCATTTTTTTTTTTTTTCTGGTTTTTCGAGACAGGGTTTCTCTATGGCTTTGGAGACTGTTGCCCTGGAACTAGCTCTTGTAGACCAGGCTGGCCTCGAACTCACAGATCCACCTGCCTCTGCCTCCTGAGTGCTAGCATTAAAGGCGTGCACCACCAACGCCCTGGCTGGTCTGCAATTCTTATTTCATTCCATGCAGAATAGCTCCTTGGTGAGTGAATTCCCCGTTCCCCCAGGGCTTCCCCTAAGGTTTCTTCAGTCCCTACCTGGTCCTCTGTGTAAGCAAGGATGCCAGCCATAGGCCCCTTGGCTGCTGATTTCATAGCCTCCTTAATATCTGAGTAGGAGGCAGGCTGGGCCAGGCGGCACGTCAGATCCACAACAGATACATCTGGGGTTGGCACCCGGAATGCCATTCCCGTTAACTTCCTGGAGAATTTTACAGTAAGAGTGGGAGTCAGAGCTCAGGGACTTCTGCTTCCACCCTCCCCTGGCCTTGGGGCCAGTGAGGTCCTCCTAGGGCATGCCCGGGCCCTGGTTGCAACATTGTAGCCACATACCCTTTGAGCTCTGGGATGACTTTGCCTACAGCGCTGGCAGCCCCAGTGGAAGATGGGATGATGTTTTGGTGAGCCCCTCGTCCTCCTCTCCAGTCCTTCTTTGACGGCCCGTCCACTGTCTTCTGAGTGGCCGTGTAGGAATGGACTGTGGTCTTGGGGAACAACAGGACCAAGATGAAGCCTTTTGGTTCCTAAGCTCTTCTTCCTCTTTCTTCTAGGACTTGGGAGGTAGCCTAGGTATGGAGACTAACAGGGCCACCACCACAGACCGTAGGAAGGGTGCCTGGAAGCCAGGACCTGGTCTTTGTAGAGTATTTCAAAAGGTGCCTCTTAGGGTGGGCTTCCTTTCCAAGCCACTCTCCCTGCTGACTCCATACTTTAAGCAAGGCCTTTAAAGCAGGGAAGAAGGTGTTGCCTTCCCTGTCGTCCTTCCCACCCCAACTCACCATTAGCCCTTCCACGATCCCAAAGCGTTCGTGAATAACCTTTGCGAGGGGGGCCAGGCAGTTGGTGGTACAGGATGCGTTGCTGAAATGGTCACGGTGTACCAGATGAGTGGCAGAGTCCCCCTTTCCCCCCCTTAACTCTTACTTAACCAGGTCTGGTTTTGTGAGATGTGAGGATGGGGGCAGGAGGGCCCACTGGGAAAGGGGAGGCCATAAGATAAAGGAGCCGTTGGAAGCACCCCTGGGGAATGCTGCCTAGCCATGTGAACATTGCTAGTAGTTTCACGGTGAAGTTAACACGAGGACTCGAGACTTAGGGACTGGTCAGTGGGAACTTGTAAAAAATGGGATTGGCGTGGGCAGGATCGAGCGTTCCTGTGCCTCGGCCTGGCATGTCTGTGGGCTACCACCCACCCGCTCGAGGATGGCTGTCATCCCAGGTACCTGACAATGTTCATAGAGCCAGGGTTGTATTCCTTCTCATTCACACCCATGACCAACATGGGCGCGTCAGGGGAGGGTGCAGAGACTACTACACGCTGGGCACCAGCTGAGATGTGTGCCTATGACAGAGGACAAGGGTTAGGGTCTCCAAGCACCACTGCCCCCCTCTTCCCAGGCAGCCCTGGACATCCTCCCCCACTTACCGAAGCTGCCTCTATGGACAGGTATACACCTGTAGACTCCACCACATAGGGACTTCCTACAGAACGCCAGGGGATGTCTTTGGGGTCTTTGCTGTGGAGTGGTGGGAAGGCTGTGTCAGTCTTCCTTGCTTGGGTGTCAGGCAAGTCAGAGGCCTCGGTGCCTTGACCTGCTAACACCCATTCCCTAACTCCATAGACACCTACCTGCTCCACACTGGTGCCATCTTGCAGGCCCACACCAACAACTTTCCCTTTCTTTTGTCTTTTTTGTTTGTTTTTGAGACAGGGTTTTTCTGTGTAGCCTGGGCTATCCTGGAACTCACTTTGTTGACCAGGCTGGCCTCACATATATCGGCATGCCTCTGCCTCCCAAGTGCCGGGATTAAAGACATGCACCACAACTGCCTGGCTATATATATTTAAATGTTTTAAAATAACTTATTTTAAGTGCTCTCCTCTCCCTCCCTCTCTCTCTTTCTCTCTCTCCCCTCTCCCCTCTTCTCTGTGTGTGTGTGTGTGTGTGTGTGTGTGTGTGTGTGAGAGAGAGAGAGAGAGAGAGACAGAGAGACAGAGAGACAGAGAAAGAGAGAAAGTAGTTGGATCCCCTGGAGCTATAGTTACAGGGGGCCGTGAGCCACTTATGGAGTGCTGGGAATTGAACTTGGGTCCCCTGAAAGGGGAATTTGTGATTTTAACCGCCGAGCTATCGCTGCAGCGCCATGGTGTGTACTTGTTTAATCTTTTGTGGTGCTGAGGATTGGCTCCAGGGCTGTATAAATGGAGTATTCTCCTACCAAGCCACATCCATAGTCTCATTTCCTTAGTCATTCTACATGCGTGCACTGAGCTGTCACAAGCTTTCAGTCTTAGCTTTTTACCTGAAGGAAATGCTGTTCACCACCACAGTCCCACTACTGTGATCATTGTTCCAAAAATCCCACGTCAGGACAGTGGTGATGGCAGGCTGGGAGCAGGGGCTGCCCAGCCCTGGGTTCTGCCCCAGTTAGCTACCGTGTGGGAATGAATGAATGAAGCACAGGCTTCCCCTCTCTTCTTCTGGCCACATGGCTCTTTTATCCCTCTGCTCCATCAGCCCATGCTGTTCACCACCTGGCCCAGGTAGCTTTTATCTGGCGCACCCACTTTCTGGCTTTCAAGTTGGGGGTGCTTCCGCACAGCCCCTGGTGCCTATAAGTCTGTTTCATGCAGCGGCATTGATGGGGGAAGGCAATCGTATTGTATATTGTATTGGCAAGTTGTCACATGCTGTTTGGGCTCACCGAGAAGCTGGCTCAAGACCCGAGCATGTTTATGGCAAGTGTTTTTCAGGACCCCTGTCCCAGGGTGGACTTACCCCCCCCTTACCTCTATGACAGAGAAAGGTGAGAACCGTAAAATAGACCAGGGGTAAGAACACAGTCCCTGAGAATGGAGGTTATTGTTGTTTATCCCATGGTGCCCAAGTGCTCGCCGTGAGAGAGCCTGTAAGTTCAGCCATGAGAGAAAACTCAGTCAAGAACCCCTTCTGAAACCTCGGCTTCCCCAGTCAGCCTCTGCTGGAGTTATAAGCCCTCGACTGGGTGATGCCACATTACACACTGATGCGATTTGTTCTTTTACTTAGAAGCTTCACCAGCTCTGCCTGGAAACTGACTCTTACTGGGTTATCCCCAGTTGATGTCTACTAAGATGTTCTGAGCGCCTGGTTTGACATTTTTCTATCTATCTATCTATCTATCTATCTATCTATCTATCCATCCATCTTCTATCATCTATCATCGCCATCTATCTGTCTATCTGACTATCATATCTATCATCACCATCTATCTGTCTATCTATCTGTCTGTCTGACTATCATCTGTCTATCATCTCCATCTATCTGTCTATCTGTCATCTAGCTATCATCATCTATCTGTCTGTCTATCTATCTGTCTATCTGTCATCTAGCTATCATCATCTATCTGTCTGTCTATCTATCTGTCTATCTGTCATCTGTCTATCATCACCATCTATCTGTCTATCTATCTGTCTGTCTATCATCTGTCTATCATCTCCATCTATCTGTCTATCTGACTATCTGTCATCTAGCTATCATCATCTATCTGTCTGTCTATCTATCTGTCTGTCTGACTATCATCTGTCTATCATCGCCATCTATCTGTCTATCTGACTATCTGTCATCTAGCTATCATCATCATCTATCTGTCCCTTGCTGTTTATTTTTCCACTTTGGCTTGCTGTACATAGTTTATAAACTTATTCCAAACCACAAGTGTGGCGCTCACCGGTCATTCTCCAGCAGTATGGGAGTGGGGGTGCTGTGTGTTGAGGCTGAGGGAGGAGAGCACTGGTGATGTCCAGACAGATGCAGAAAAACTTGGGGTGACTGACAAGCTGCCCCACTGGACCTGCTCTTAGGGTCATGATTTCAAACTCAGGGCCAGCAGCTTCTGTTTGCCCTACACCCCAGAACCTACCCTCCCCTCAGCCTCCTCCAAACTCCATTTTACCTCATTTTTAAGCAAGTTAAAGGGACGCTGAGATATATAGAGAAACCCTGTCTCCAAAAACCAAACAAATAAAAAACAGCCCCCCCAAAACCAACAAAAACAAAAAAGATACACACACACACACACACACACACACACACACACACACAAGCTGAAAGCATCCTGCCTGGGACTGGGGTTGTTTCTTAGACTTTGCCAAGTAACATGCCATTGTTTTTCTTTTTTTTATTATGGTGTAGCTCCAGGATAACTTAGAATCTGTGATAATCCTCCTGTCTCAGCCTCCCAAGTGCCGGAGTTTTAAGTGTATACCCCACCCCTGGCATGTTACTGCCTTATGTATGGATTCTGAATCTGTCAGTAAATAGTGGGACTTTCCATCAGCAGGAGCCCTGTGGGGTGGGCTCTATGAAGCCAGCCTTGCTTGGGTGTAAGAGGTGCAGGCCCAGGGTCCCCAGAGGTGATGACCAGTGTGGCAGAGAGGCACTTCAGGGTGGGATGCACAGTTTGTGGGGTACATGGGGGGTTTGGCCTCATTTTTGGGGTGCTGAGGAGCATGGGGGTGTTAGGTAGAGGAGTACCCTGGCTTGGTGGAGATTCAGAAGACTTCAGGGGATTCTGGGTAGGAGCTGGCTCAGTCGCCATAGGGAGTGCAGCAGAAGCAGGAGATGAGGCACCGTGAACTCACACAGCCAAGAGAACACATGCAGGTGTGTGTTAGCTACGAAGCACACAGCACCCACGGCGGTCCTCAACTGTTGTAGGCGCCAGAGGCCTTCCAGAGACCATGTCTCTGGACAGTGGCTAGAGGCACGCTCGTATAGCTGAGCTGCAGCGCGGACGACCGCCTCCCGGCCTCACCCCTCCCCCACCGCCCTTACCACTGGTACACGTTGATCTCAAGGTTATCCACTACTAGCCGTCCGTTCTTGTGCTCCACGGTCCCTTTGTATCGCCCATGCGTGGAATCATATTTGAACATGTATACCTGCGGCAGACGGAGCGGGGGTCCTCGTCTCAGGTGGCAGAGCAAGCAACAACCCCCCAGACAAAGTCCTCCACTTGTGGGAGATTCTGCAAGTCCCTCCACATAGTTCTTGGAACTCTCTCCCCAACTCCGGGGTCACTCTTGCTGGTCTCTCTCCGTCTGCTACTTACCATGTATTCTGGGTCAATGAATGGATCGTTCACAGCCACCACCTTAATGCCCTTCTCCATGCAGACACGCAATACCAGGCGGCCAATTCGTCCAAATCTGTCCAAGTGGGAACATGCAGAAAAGGCATGAGTGTGGGAACAGGGTGACAGGGATACCGTGGTGTCAAATGTCCCATGCAAGCTCACGTTGAACTTTGAACCACTGAAGGGGGCATTGAGAGGGTGGAAACTTGGGGCTGGTAAGGAGGCTCAATGGGTTACTTAACTCCAAGCCTGACACCCTCAGTTCTATCCCTGGAACCCGTATGGTTGGAAGAAGAAATCTGACTCCTGCATGTTGTCCTCTGACCTGTGTGTGTGTACATATAGGCACACGCACACACACAGACACTTGTGGTCTCAGCAGCTGGGACTTAGAAAATAAGTGAAAAGTAGGAGGGTGGGGCCCCTGTGATGACCTTAGTGGCTTTATGAGAAGAAAGACCCGAAAGCTGGCTCCGACTCCGCTGGCAATGCCATCAGTGCACTGCCTTAGGACTCTGCAGAGTCCCCAACAGACACATCTCTTCAGTGTTGGGCGCTTCCAGTGTCCAGACTGTAAGAAATCTCTTCTCTTTTAAATGGCTCAGTATCAGGTGTGGAGTGATAGCCACTGAAAACAGACTGAGACAGCCCGAGGCTTACTCAAGGGGCCTAGGTTCTGTGTGGGTGTGGGGAGCAACCGCTTCTGTGTAGACCACTATTGCGTCATCTCTTGCCCAGGTGAGATTGCTCGTAATCAATACTTCCATTTCCCAGCCCCACCAACCCCCCATTCATGTTCTTCCCTTCTTGTCCTCCACTCCCTCTGACCCCCTTGTCTCTTCTTCCTCTCTCTTCATCCATCCATCCATTTTTGGTTTTTTTGAGACAGGGTTTCTCTGTCCTGAAACTCTGCCCTGTAGACCAGACTAGCCTGGAACTCACAGAGCTCTGCCTGCCTCTGCCTCTGCTGGGATCAAAAGTTTGTGCTACTACTCCCAGCCTCCAGCTCCCTTTTGTATTGTTTTGTTCTGTATTTTGGAGACAGGATCTCACTCTGTAGCCCAGACTAGCTTGGAACTCAGAATACGTAGCGCAGGTTGGCCTTGGCTTTTGGGAGTCCTGCTTTAGCATCCCTAGTCGCCAGTGTTATGGTCATACCTCCTTGCCTGGCTAATGTCCCCTATTGTTACTCCTATAGCTGGGTGGACCCAGGAAAACGTTACACCTCTCCATGTTGAATGAGATCTGCGTTTCTTACCATGGTGCTTTGGGTCTTAGACTCTGTGACCCCCCCCACTCCCCCCGCCCAGTTTGTTCTTACAGCTGTGCAGATTTCCTGACTGCCCTTAAATATACAAAGCATGCCCCTTCCATGCCAGAGCCCTTGCTTGCCTCACTCACTACCTTGAAGACTTTCCCGGTAGAGAGATGGCCGGCTGCCTTTTGTCACTCAGCCTCACTCCTGTGTCTCTTCCCAGAAGCCTCCAGGGCCCAGCCAGTGCTGCCCTTCCAGCCTTATATCTCCCAGGCAGCCTTGAACTGCCTTAGGCCTGTATCTGAATGCTGTCTCCTAGAAGGGAGTTCTCTGAGGGCTGGCTTGCCCTTCTGGCCCAGTGAGAAGGCAGGTGCTCCCAGCCCATAGTGGCCTGAGGAGGCTCCAGCTCAGGCCTGAGGTCCACTCACCCATTGATGCCCACTGTTAGCTCTTTCATGGGCTTTTTGGGTGGCTGAGGGGGTGGAGGGGGTGGAGGAGAAGGAGGAGGGAGTGGCCTCTCTTCTTTGACTTGAGTAGGCGGCGGCGGCGGCGGCGGTGGTGGCGGCGATGGAGCCCTGGGTGGTGGCTCCTCAAGTTTACATTCAGGTGGTGGTGGTGGTGGTCTTATCACTGTGGGGAGCAGAGAAAGTCCAGAAAGGGGACGGTGAGCTGGCTCAGTGGGTAAAAGTGATTGCCCCTGAGGCTCATGACCAGGCTTTGAACCCTGGAACTCTTATGGTAGAAGAGAGCCACAAGTTGTCCTGACTCCTCTCCCCTCACCCCTGCCTCGCATACAAAGGTATGAAAGTGCCTCCCATGTGGGGGCATGCACTGCTTGGTGTGCACATGTGTGCTCATGTGTGCTCATGTGTGCTCATGTGTGCTCATGTGTGCTCACACAAACACAGATGTCAACCTCTGCTGCCTCCCTGCCTCATCTTGGCCTCCGCTTCTCCCCTTTCCACCGTTGGAACCCAGAGCTCAGGCCGTCCTGGGGACAGAGTTCCCGGCCTCCATCCCCACCCCAAGCAGAAGCCTGCTGTGAGGAAGGCGAGTGGGAATGGGACCCCTGGAGGAAAGAGGCCTGGAAGCTGCCTGAAGCCCCCTCCTCAGCCTCCCCGCCTGCTCCTCCAGGACACTTAGCAGCCAGCATTGTGGTGGAGGAAGGGTCTCCAAGACTCTGGGCACCCCGTATGAGGGTGTAGTGACTCCCAGACCACACGTTCCTCCTCTTCCCAGGGCCACCCGGAAAGGCTCTCCTCACCAGGACATGTCTGTCTCAGTAGTTGGACAACAGTGACATTGGTGAAGACGACGTCACGTTTCGACATGGCCTAAGGTCTCATGGCCTGGCTGCCTTGGGCCCCTCCGAGATGGTATTGAGGTATGAAGCTCCCCCAGGGCTTGGTTAGTGTCTCCAGAGCCTGTGGTGATGTCACATTGCCCAGTGACATCACAGAGGGACGGTGTGCAGACATCTGGAGTGGAACTGCTGCGTTCACACACGTGTGTGTGCGTGCTGTCTCCCTCCCTTTCGGCCCCCTCCCCCGTCCACCTGCTCCATGCTGGCCTGGATCTCGGAGGAGTTTCCCTAGAAAGGACCTAAAAAGCCCCTGCCAAGTCTCCCCTTGCCTTCCCCGGGTTCTCTAAGACACTCTCTTGTAACTGAGGCCCTCCTCCCCACAATGGAAGAACGGGGTAAAGCATGGCCTATAAAAGCCTGAGACTGGGGAGGACGGCCCCACACAAGTGTCTTCTGGACACAGGGGCTGCATCCCTGATCTCACAGCAGCTATTGCTGCCTTTGCCAGACCAAGCCAGTCCAGCCCATAGCGGGAGAATTCAGGAGCCCCCGCCTCTGGCTGAGGAGCTCCTGAGAATTGATGACTTCCGGGGGAAGGAGAATCAGTCTTCTTTAAGGGTGTGGATCAAGCTCCAGTGGATGCCCCCAGACCCCTCTATCAACATTACAAATGGGAATCAGTGTTCTATCAAAATAAACAAAAAAGACCAAAAGCCTAAGCTGGGCAGTGGTGGCTCACACCTTTTGCAGGCAGATCTGAGTTTGAGGCCAGCCTGGTCTACAGAGTGAGTTCCAGGACAGCCAAGAGCTACACAGAGAAACCCTGTCTCGTAAAACTAAACCAAACCCAAACAACGATAACAGAAACCCGGGAATTTGAGAGGGAATTGGTGTTAGGGAGGGGGTAGGTTTGGAAATGATCGAATTACATTGCCTATATGGAGTCAGAAGTTTAGTGAAAATAGTATATAATGTACAAGCCAGATGTTGTGGGATGTAACTAAGTCCCAAATCTAATGGGCCAGCTAGCCTGGAGTACACACACTGCAGAAGCTGCAGACCTGCAGCAGCACGGTAGGAGAGAGAAATGACGCCTCATATTTGTCCTCTGATTACCACACTGCTGGAAATCAGTTTCCTGACTGCTCATGCACACACACACACACACACACACACACACACACACACACACACACTTTTAAAATTTAAAAGATAAAAATAAAAAAGTAAAACTATCACAGAATCTGTGGTAAAGTGAATGAAAGTTTTCTATGTAGAAAATGATACTTTGAGAAATATGTTACTGCCTTATATGGAAGATAAAATTATTAAAGGTTATATTTAAGCATTATTTTAGGAGGTTAATTAAATTTAAGGGACTAGACCACAGCACAGTGGTAGACCACTTGCCTGGCAGACGAGACCCTGAATTCAACACCTTCCCAAATAACCCCAAATATATTTAAGGATATATCAACTGTCTTATCCTGCATGGTGCCTGAGACCTACTCTGCCTATATGGCTGTGGTGGAACAGTGAATTTGGAATTGCAAGGGAAGGCTGGTAAACTCATGCAGGCTTATGAGAAAACTCGCCCACAAAAATCACTTGCTGTATAAACCTGCCATGCTGAGTTCCCTTCCCTGCACCCATTGTAGACAGAGGAGCAACTTCTCAACAGCTGTTATGAGCTCCATTACACCCTCTCAACCCCTAAGCACTAAATACAGAAAATAAGAGATGAGATGACTCAGCAGTTAAGAGCACTCATTGCTCTCGCAGAGGACTCAAGTTCAGTTCCCAGCACCTACAGTGTAACCATCTGTAACCCCATTTCCAAGGGATCTGATGCCCTCTTGTGGCCTCTGCGGGTACCACACGCACAGGGTGCATATACATACATGCAGGCAAACACTCAAAAAAATTTAAAACTTAAAAATCAGACAAGAGAGATGGATCAATGATCAAGAGCATGTGCTGCTCATACAGTGAGCTGAGTTCTATTCCCAGAACCTACATAAGGTCTATAAACCCAGTTTCTGGGGATCTGCCTCCTTTGGCTTCTGTGGACAACTGCAACACACACACACACACACACACACACACACACACACACACACAGAGA